TACTAGGATGCATTTCCTTAAAGTGATTTAATGGGTCGATTTCTTACTTTTTTTATCAGAGAATTTAAATGATTGGCACACATCACGTCATCGGCGTCTGGGCTGCTCAGCCTTTCCGGACTACATTGCTCTCGAGGGCGCTGCCTCCTTGACAGTTCGCTCAGCACAGCCCCTTATTCCTCTTCTTGACACGGCTAATCCAGCTATTCAACCACCAAAATCTCATCCATTCGTTGAACCTGTCAACGCTGAGGAAAACCTCCCCGATGCTTGTTTTACGTGGACACAGTCGCTTCCGTCAATGCCAGAGGGTGACAGTACTCTCCTGAATGTTCTCATTAAGCTTAACGATAAGTATCACATTTCTGACCCAAAAACTGCCGTTAATGTTGCCTGTAAATCTTGTGGTCTTGATGATCGTGCCGAGAATCTGATTTTTTACCGCCTGAAAGTCTGGATTCATACGGAGGAAGGTGATTTAGTACTGTGCAACGCTCGTCTTTTTGCTCCTGTACGAGATAGTGATACTATGTGGACCTATGACCGTGAGACGAATAGGTGAGTCGTCTCATTTCTCGGCTAGTCATCATTTCTTGTCTTCTATGTAAAACAACTGTTACTTACAATAACCTAGTAACAACGTCTTTGTATTGATAGTATTGATCTCACAATCGTGAAGGAGGAGGCGGGCACTTGGCCGCGTCTCTTTGCCGATCTTGACGAGGAGAGACGTTTAGGTGTTCGGTATGATGAGGGATCATTGCCCACAGCAAACGCCGACACTTCTGGTGAAATGATACAGAGCTGCTTCAACGTGGAGCAACTTGAGGACGTAGATATGATTAATGACGAGGATGAGGATGATGGTGTTATGCAGCGAGTCGATGGAGAAACGCTAGAAGTTGTTCTAAGAGTTAGTTTTATTTTTGTACTAAATTGCTTTGTGTTGGCCATCTTAGGCATTTGTAACGCTCAACTCTTGAAGGTATTCCTATAGGTGAATACAGGTATGCAAAAGGCAACAAAGCCTCGTCTTCGCGTTGTAATTCATTGAGTAACTCTGCTTACTCTGGTTTGGATGCTGTATTCTTGTATCTCCCTTGAATTTGCTCATCTCCTTCAATTCATACGACCCGCTCAAAAATTGCCTTACGCAACAAAGACTTGTGGGCTTCAAAATGTGATGTAGTTAAATAAGGTGGCATGTTCCTTTAATTCACGTCCCTTACTTATGATAGGTATGTGGAATATGGAGGTCATTCGTGAAAGCAGCTGTTAATGGATCAAAGACTTAAGCAAGTTGCTTCGTTTTTATTTTATACAATCACATGACCTAAACGTTCACCTTTACTAATTCGTTCCACACCCACGAGACCTATGGATTTTCATACGATGGTTTGGTTACAAAATTTTCGTCATTTCCGTTTATTAGTTGGTCTCAACCTTGGTAGCGGTGGATTTTGGCTCCCATTGAGTTGTTGAGCGACAAATTTTTTAATTTGCCTCTTTCTCCTTCATTTAGGGTGAGATGGTGGGTCATCAGATGCTCTACGTAGCCCCGACATGTGTTGGTGGCAATGGCCTTAATTCACCCTCACATCTCCTCTGCACACGCTACGATGTGGACGGTCTTTTATGGGCACCACAGGCACATGACGCGAAGCATCCCTGGGTACATGTTGCCACTCTTCAGGCCTTTGGCTACGTCCTCGCCAGCAAGCAGAACCGCCGTTTCATCGCCTCACCTCCTCTCAACCTTGCCGATGCTCCCATAACTGTCCCTTTCGTTGCTGTAGCTGACATCACCCGTCATGTCTATGTCTACTGGCAACCAACAAATAACTCTCTCACTGAATTGCGCCATCGAAGGCCTGAGTGTGACTCGAGGCAGGACTCCGGCGTTGTCCATGTGGCCTGGCAACAGGTCATTGCACTGCCTGACACCGAGACGATTATCGGCTTCTCGGCTGTGGCAGGTAAACCCTATGCTGCGTGCGTGGTTGCCACTTCGGGAGCCCTTTACTTGGTTTGCCTGGACGAGATGGAAAAATAAGTGTGCATTTTTTGACTGGTACTTTCGAAATATAAATAATTATTTCTTCGATAAACGTCGCAAACCGCCGAATAACAGTGGTCACATCTTTGCATTTAAGTCCGGCATGATTTGCTAACGTCTTGGGTCTCGCCACTGTGAAATCCAGTGCAAATTTACCACCTTTCATTGCTAATAATTAAATTGTAGTAAGAAGGAGATGCATTG